GTTGGAGCTAAACTCTCCTGGACACCGGCCCTCCAGAACTGAGTTTGGACACCCCTGTTCTAAGTGAACTTGTTAAACTAATTCACTAAATCAGACTGAATCATTTAAAATGATTCATGACTACAGTATTGTTAAGCACTTATTCAGAAGCTACTTACTTTTTAACATGCCTCATACCCCCTTCTGACTCGAGATAAACCAATATTGACTGAGTTATTCAGGTTTTAGAACAGTTTATTGAGATCAGATTTAAGAAGCTGTGAAACAATTATACTTCGCATGCGTGATTTAGTGAACCGAACACCAACAGTACAAGTCATCTGCTAGTCTGAAGTGCAATTTATTGAGGATGTAAAGTGTGAAAAAAACTATGTAGGAACAAAGTGATTTCCGGCATGTAGAAATTATAATTTTTATTTGCAAATGTTTTGTACAGTTTATTTATTTTTTTGAAAAATCTTTGATGGAAACATAGTTATTGAATCCACCTGAACTTCCTCATCTTAATTTCCCACTGTACAATCAGCCTCTCAATTGACATCATCTTTATCACCATCTTGAGTCTCAGTTTTTAGTATTTTTGTCCACAAATGACTTTTTGGCTTTTGGTCCTCATGGAGTAGTGTTATTTGTGTTTATCAGGGTTCATAGGGTCTCAGAAATGGACCCGTCCAGTAATTGTATAGCTTATGAAAGATTTAAAGGCTAGTGGAGCTGACAGTGTGCTCTTCCTTTGGCTGTAGGTTCAGGATTTGACTTGCGCGTTGGCTCAGTTGAAGATAGAACAGTTGAGACGGGTTGGAGTCCGAGGTACACTCTTGTTTATAGCTATAAATTTATATGGACAGGGTTCCCTCTGGTCCTTGACAGTTTGTGAATCTGAAAAAAAAAAATTTCAAGTCCCTGGAAAGTTAAAAAAAACAAAAAAACATGCATAGATACAGGTCCTTGCCAGGAGCTTGACTTTATTTTCTGCAAGATACTTTCTGATTGGGAAAATCCCATATTAGTCTCTATGATCTGTTATTTCGCCTTGGTGTAAGAAGTCTTTATCTAGGTTTTCCCTTAAAGATAAAGTTTTTGAGTGCTTTTATTTTAAGTGATTTTGCTCTTGAAATACACTACTGAGTGTATAAGAGTAGTGTATATGTAAATACACTACTCTTTTAAAAACAGGACACATTAAAGGTATAGTTCACCCAAAAATGAAAATTCTGTTCTCATTTACTTGTTTTAAAGCTGTTTGTGTTTCATCTGTTGAACTAAAAAAGATATTTAGAAGAAAAGCTATAAACCTGCAACCATTGAAATCCATAGACTTTGTTTTTCTTGTATGGTGGAGTCGGACAAGGGTTACATGTTTTCAGCATTCTTCAAAGTATCTTCTTTTGTTTTCAACAGAATAAAGAAACTCGTATAGGTTTGGAAGTAACCATTTAAGAGTGTGTACATTTTCATTTTTGGGTAAACTATCCTTTTAAATTGATCAGAAGTGGCAGTAGATATATAAATTCAGATTGTAAATAAGTTGTTTATCGAGGATTTCTGGAAAACGTACATCTCATTTTCCCGAAAAATATCAAGAAGCACAGTTGTTTTTAATTTTAATATTAAAAAGAAATATTTCAACGTCAGCACATGAGTAATTTATTTATTTTTTGAAGAAGAGGAATCTTGTGACATTGCAAATTAGGAAAATTACAGTAGCAAATAATATTTTACTGCGTTTAATTAGTAAAAAATCACTAAACTTATATTTTTCTCAATATTGTTGTTTTTTAATGTTATATTTTTTCTTTCAATATTTTATTGTATTATTGTTATTAATGTAATTCAACTATAATCAAATTAATGCTAATTAGTTTAATTTGTAATGTGCTTTTATTAGACTCAGTGCTACAAAGCAAAACACTAACAATAGCAAAAAACGGCACAATAAAAATATGCAACAAAATGACCCAAAAATGAAAATTCTGTTCTCGTTTACTTGTTTCATCTGTTGAATACAAAAGAAGATATTTAAAAAAAAAAAAGCAGTAAACCTGTAATGTTCCTATGTTAGCACAAAAGAATGATTTTTATTTGATGAGTCACGTGACACTGAAAATGTGCAAAATTAATTTTGAATATAAATACATTAAATAAGTGGTGTCACTTCAAAAATGTACACATCTAAAATTATAATGAAAGCATTTGATTGCTTTTCGAACTTTTTATGCTCGTATAGGATAAAATGGGTTGTGTTTAAAAAAAAAAAAAAACCCACCAAGATTGACATCCTTAAATTTTATTATTATTAGTCATGTGTATATGTCTGTTCAAACATGCACCCAAAACCCAGACTTTCAGACTTTCTAGACTTCACATTTAAGAGCAAGGGGCATCCCCTGGTGGTTCGGCGGTGTGGTGTGCGTATAGGGAGAATTGGCTCTTTAATGTTTTTTTTTTTTTTTTTTTTTTGCCACCCTTCGTAGAAGGATTGAAAATAGAAGAAAAAATATGGGAAAATTGAACCAACTTAACCCCGCTAAGAAAGACGTGTCATGTTATCACAATTATGCAGCGTTTTAACAGCCTAATGCTTAATTCATGTTTTAGACATGTAGATTCAAACACGTACCTGTAAAACAATACATTTAGAGTTTGTAAAACACACAAGGAAGTCTTAACAATCCATTCAAATATAATTTGGCAATATGTTTCATTCATGTCAGATACACATTACACATAGTGAAAGTAACTATAAAGTCGAATCTATTCTTCTCTAGGTTCACAAGCCACTTACTTGCATATATTTGGGGAGTAACTGGTGAATTTACATGCTGAATCCTGCGTGTTCTGCTTTTTATGAATGAGAAACGCACGGCTGCTGGTGAACATGGCGACGACTATCTCACATTATAGATCACAGTCACTTACACGTTTATGTGAACTTGTAAAACTTCTGTTAGAGATTATATCTCATTAAGATTATTTTTCTTACACAATTCGCAAATTTAACTTGTTTTAAGCAAACAATCACTTAATTTTGATGAGTTTTTTTTTTTCAGAAACCAAGATATAATTTCTTATGCTATTTCTGTCTAGTATGTATCTTAATTTAAAAATATTTAGATATTTGGATGAAGAACAGGACAAAACTACTTAGCTTTTTATTTTATTATTAATAATATTCTTAGTTTTATTAGTAGTATAACAGCTCAGGGATGAGCTTTTTTGAATAAACGGTTGAAAATCGTTAATCGAAGAAATGATCGACAGGTTAATCGATTATTAAAATAATCGTTAGTTGCAGCCCTAATTTCGATTAATCACACAGCCCTAATGTAGAGTGTTTGTTATTTTAAAGTGATAGGACTAAGACAGTCATTTAATAAGCTTTTTCATTTACAGTTGTGTATATAAAAACTCAACTGTAACCTCATGGCATTTAGAATGGTAAATATTTTATATTTTGTAATTTTTAAGTTTTCAATCAAATGTAAATCACAATGCTCTTCCAGAGTTTGTTTCTGTGACCAAAGTCCTTTAAATAACAAGTAACAAAACAAAGCAAATAATTTTTAAAATAAGCAGCAGGAGAAAAGGAAAAACAAATGTTTCATCTATGAGTCTTTGTCAGTAATATGTTTGATTAGCCGCTTGGCAGAGTGGTTCAGTTTTAATAATTTAAACATGCCTTATTGGATGTGGTTTTCTTGATGGGTATTTGGCTGGGTCAAGATATCTTGAGCAGTCAAGAGAATATGCCTTGTTTCTTCAAATCTGGTATGAAGGCATTTCTTTATACCAACTGTGATTCAAAAAGTTAGCTTGACCTGAAAGGGCTTTTTATAAGAGAAGGTTTTAGATAGATCCTACATTTCTCGAACAAACTCAAAACTGAGACTCAGATGGACCTTGGAAATAAATACAAATTTTATATTTTGATAATCGAGACACTTGGCAACGTCCTTATCGGCTCAGTGTTTGCTCACTGACAGGAAAACAAAGAGGTAGTGCTTGAGATCGACAAACTGTCTGAAAACCATCACAGAGGAAAGAAAGATGATGCTGGATCTTTTAAGAAAGGCAGAAAGTCTCGCTCCAGAAGCCCTCAGCGATCCAGGAGGACCAAGAGCCGTGACCGAAGCAGAAAACGATCCACGAACAGAAAGAAAACACGGAGACGGAGCGAAGATTCTGATGACTCTCGCTGCAGTAGGAGAAAGGAGAATGGCTCAAATTCTGAAGACAAGAGAAAGAAGAAGACTAAAAAGAAGAGAGCGCTCAGAGACAGAAAGTCAGGATCTGATGAGGGAAGCAGTGAGAGTGAGCCGGAGGAGGGAGAAATCACTGAGTCGGATGGAGAGAATCATTCGTGTTCAGTTTCATCTTCGTCCGCATCTTCAGTTCAGAAAACACTTGACAGTCCTGATGAAGAAATGGAGATGGAAACGCAGATGCAGGAAGGTGAGGAGGTCTTCAGCGGGGAGTGAGCGCTGTGTGCACTGCTGGTTGTTTGTTTGCTTTATCAGTATGTTTGCAGGATCTTAAAGTCTTTAAAGATCTTGTATTTCAAAAACAAAAAACCTTTAGTCTTAAATTCACTAAAATGTTGTCTTGTTTTTGTCTTAAATCATTTTGAAAAGGTTTTGTTTTTATTTAAAACCGGGGTTCCCAAACTTTTCAGCCCACGTCCCCCAAAATAACAACTCTAGTGACTTCCGATCTCTACTATGCTCGGAGGTGGTTATAAACATACAAACATTGCACACAATGGTGCACACACACCAATAGGAACTATTTAATCACGAGCATATAGACAACACAAAAAAGCACAACAGTCTACCAAACATATCATTTTTTATAGTCATTATTTATTTAATTTAATATCAACCTCACTTAATGAGACTGATGGCACAGTGATTACAGCACAATCACAGCTCACCACTTGGAGATCTCCATGTTCAGCCGTGGGCTTTATTTTTAATGTATGCGAGTGCTGTAAAGGTGTCAAAGTTTAACATTGTGCCATAAAATCAATCTGCTGTAACTAACACTAATGCTGTGACAGTTTAGCATAATAGCCCCAGAAGTTGCAATCCAATTGAGAAAAAAAAATAGAAAGGCTGATGGCTTTTTATTTGCATGTTTTTTTTTTTACGTAACTATTAAATATTGAGTATATATGAAATATATTATGAGTTAAAACTCTTTATCTTCTGTACGTTATGGATAAATGATGATAATTCTAATACAGGGTGATTCAAAAAGAATACCACGACTTTGAAAATCAAGAACTCTGCAAAGAAGAAAAGGAGAGCTAAGCTTGTTCTGTCGTCGATTTAAGGAAGCTCTGAAGTTTTATTTGGTTACTTATTTGGTCACTTATATCCGTTTTCAAATTTTCAAAATTTCCGTTTTCAAATTTTCAAAAAAGAAAATGAAGAAAACGGCAGTATTTCAATTGCTCACAAAAAAAAAACTGAACAAACAAGATTTTGGCTCGATTTTCATTTTATTTAAATTATTATTTATGGTAGGAAAATGGATAAATGACTTTAAAATTTATTATACACATGTAGGCGGCGCCCATTTTCCTCTGATCAATCAACCAAATCTGAGCTTGTGACATAGCCCTGAAAATAAGAGCCCTCTGTGGACCAGCACCCAGGCTTTTAATTATTATTATTTAATTGTATGTATGTATGTGTGTGTGTGTGTGTGTGTGTGTGTGTGTGTGTGTGTGTGTGTGTGTGTGTGTATATATATATATATATATATATATATATTCCTTATTTAGACCACAAGACCTTATTTTGATGACAGATGTCTAATAATACTGCTAATTTACGTTTTTATTTAATTTATGCATATGCAATGAATGTAAGCCTGCTAACTGATCAAATGGCTGAATATGTAGACTTAGCTTATATAAATAATTAAATAATAATAATAAAAAGCCTGGGTGCTGGTCTACAGAGGGCTCTTATTTTGGAAGGTTATGTCACAAGCTCAGATTTGGTCAGCCAGTCAGAGTAAAATGGGTGTTTCAGCACCGCCTACATGCGTGTATTGAATTTTGAAGTCGTTTATCCATTTTCTAACCTAAATTTTAAAAAAAAAAGGAAAACCAGCCAAAATCTTGTTTTTTTTTAGGCTTTTGTGAGCAAACGAAAAACTAACGTTGTTCTCATTTCCTGTTTTTGTTGGAAAACGCATATGGATTGGACGGAAGATACCCTGATTCTACAAATTTAATTCTTGATTGTCTTAAGTTCTTTAGAAGTCTTACATTTAACTTGGTGAAACCTGCAGGAACCCTGTTTATATACTAATCGTACCGCTACCTTGACTGCAAAATATTTGGGGCATTTTAAAAAAGTGCAATTAAGTTAAGAATCTATTATATAGTTAATTTTCTTTATCTTAGTGTTGGTAAAATCCAAGATTGGTTATGTTTTTATGTTTATGAATAATACATTTATTACAGTTTTCATGCATCTTCATTAATGAAAATAAAGTTTATCATTTGTTTGTTAATGGCATTCATGTTAACTAGCATGAATTTGCATTTTAATAGTCCATTAGTAAATGTTGAAATATGATTCATAAATGCTATAAAAGTATTGTTCATTATTAGTCTATGTTAGTAAATACATTAACATTAACTGTTGAAGACTTAAATTAAAATGCATTGCCCATGCAAAATCCTGAAGGGACTATGCCAGTTCGTGTTGTTAGCATAGGTTTAGCTGTTTACGTAGGTTTATTTTTCCCAATTAGATGAGGCCTTGTTATTTTTATCCCCTCCTTCCTAGTAGGGGGTGTAATGCTATTGGTTAGACCGGCCCAAAGGTGAATCAAGAGTCAGAATAAGCTGAAAATGAATAATAATAGCAGTAATAGAGACAAGCAAAGCCAATCAGAAATTCTGCCCAGGTGTTTAGTCATGTACACTACCGGTCAAAAGTTTTGGGTCAGTGGGATTATTAAAATAAGCTTCTCCTCCTCGCCAAAGCTGCATTTATTTAATCAAAAATACAGTACAAACTGTAAAATTGTGAAATGTTATTGCACTATAAAATAACTGTTCAAAAGTAGTTTATCAATTATTTTAATAATTTGTTCCGGTGATTTTAAAGAAGAATTTTCCACTTCATTACTCCAGTCTTTAGTTTCATGATACTTCAGAAATCACTGTAATATTAATTATTATTATTATTATTACTACTACAATTATTATTGCTATTATTATTAATCTTATTAATGATATCAGTAATTAAAGCAACAATGACTCAATTAAAACTAAATACGATAAGAAAGCAGTTATTTAAAATTGTAATAAATATTGAACAATTTACAATTATTTACATGTATTAATTGCCGCCTTGATGAACAAAATATTTTCTTTATAAAAAACATGAAAAAAACGGACCCCAAACTTTTGACTGGTAGTGTATAGTATTTTAAGTATGAATATTTGCATCTTACAGCTTTTTACCCTGATTTAGGTTTACCTAGATCAGAAAAATGTCCATTAAGTGTTTACTTTGGTATTGTTACATAAATTATTTCATTTAAGGACTAATAAATTTAGCATTTCTCCAGCAAATGTTATATCATTTCAATAATTGATGGCAGTATTGCTTATTCCATATTTTCAGTATCGTGTAACTCTTAATTTACAGAATTTTTTTCTTTGTATTAAAATGAAGGCTAAGGAGAATTAACAAATCCTAAATCTTAATTTTATTGCATTTTACAAAAACATCTCAACTTTTTTTTTTTTTTTTTTTTTACCTGTATTAGGGTTGATTGTGTTTTGTGTATTAGGTCAAATGCGACCTATTAAATCATTATTTTTTTAAATAACTTGTTATTTCAGAAGCCTGGCCTCCGTGTGTTCGAGTAACTGTTGTTCGCTCTCCTGTTCTGCAAACCGGAACGCTCTTCATCCTAACAGCTGATACAGTCGCAACTATCGGCAGGTCAGTTTGGTTTTACGTATTCGTCGTCTTATCCCTTGTTTTGAACGACTGATTCACGTGTTTGTGTTTATCTATTCACAGAGAGAAAGACATGAATCATGCCATTAGAATTCCAGAGATGGGAGTCAGTAAGGTAAAACAACTTGCCACTGGAATGCATTCAGATCAGATGCATCTCAAATCAATGAAAAGCATGTAACTAGAAGTTAGATGGTAATCTGTATGTTTTGGTACAGCACAGTGAAGCATGACTGCCTTGTTTTGAGACACTTTCTCATAACATGTCCCATAACAATTACATAGTCAGTAGGCAAGATAGTAGGGAGTCTTCTGTGGCACCCAACCACACCACAACCTTAAATCATTTTCAATTCTTAGTGTGCCTCATACAGGTGAGTGGGCTTGACAAGCCACCTGTATAACAGACACTTTCTTATCTCTGACATTTTACAGACACACACTAGTTTTGGTACATTTGCATCAGACACTTTCCTAAAATCACTCCATTTCTATATGACTATTGCGGTACATTGCGATATCAGTGCTCAAATGCTATATTGTTCAGCCCTTAATTCTATGCAGATTCACTCTCATATTTTTTATCCCATATAGAGCCATTAGGGCTGGGCGATTTGGCAAAAAAAAAAAAATCTAGGTTGTTTATAAAGTTTATAAAGACCAATTCACGATTTTGATTTTGATTGTTTTATTTTTTATTATTGTGTTACTAGTCTTCTCAAAACATTACAACAACATGACTGAAGTAACATTCTCATTAAAATTAACTTAAACCATCTGGTTAAGGAACATTGTATTTTTAATGGCCATGTCATACAAAACTCAGTCAGCAAGGTGTAAATAAATGTAAAACAAATTCACAAGTTAAATAGTGTTGCTGAAGATTTGAATAAGAAATATTTGTGTAAATATTGCAGTTGCAGGAATACAGAAGTATTTTTTGCAAGTTTTGCTGAGCCTAGGAAAGATTGGCTGTCAGCTCGGCTTTGGCTTTGTCTTCTTCTGATTGAATGACAGATTGTATTGTTGCTGCCTTTTCTTAAAAAGATACAGTGGAACCAAAGGACTGAACATGGAAACTGTAAAGCCTAATTTAACCCAATGTGTGAAGTTGTGGACGTATAGCAGGAGCAAATACAAGTACCAGATGTATGTCTAATATAAATTAATATATTTAATCTATTTTTCTTTTTCCCCCTTTTAAATACCGATCATTTGATGCGATTTGCTCCACTCTCTGTATTATGCTGCCTGATCTGTCTGGTTTTCAACCAGGTCCGCTAAATGACGTCATGGGGGCGGGTACTTTCATTTTCACTGCTACAGGCCCTCACCTCTGCTCGTGTTCAAACCAAAAGATCGGCGCGGTATTTCACATGGAAGGCTTTTACGTCCTTCATACATGTTGAGATCGAGTTTATGGACTTGATGAGGGAAGTAAAATCCTACATGACTTCACGCTTTAACAGGCAGCCAAGCAGGTCGCACACCAGAAGCGCCGCAACACGGCTCGCAAATGACAGTTTAAACTATCACACACCAAACGCACACATTCGCATGATATTTACATGAAACTTATCAGATGGCGCTCTGTGGCGCGGCTGAAATATGACTTGCGTCCTAAATCGTGGTGCTGCGCGTCGCATCGCGGAGAGGCGCTTCTGGTGTGCTGCTTCATACAAAGTAAACCAAAGCACATTGGTGCCATTATAATGTATCAAATATATATATATTTTTTTAAAATCACGATTTCTCGATTTGATTCAAAATTAAATAGTCTGAAAACGTAAATTCGAATTAATCGGAAAAATCGGAAAAATCGGCCAGCCCTAAGAGCCATTCAAGTTGTTAAATTTTGCTGTATTTGACTTAACCATTCTTGGGTGGCTAGCTGATGTATTAGATAACTCCAATATGTACAATAAGTAAGCTGACCAAAGTTGTTACGAGAAGAAGACTTAATTGAAGACACTGAATTGTGCAGTTCCTTGGCATCAATGTTAACCCATTGGTCTTTAAGTAACTTAACCTGAAGTACTATCCGTGAGACACTACTTTATAACAAGACATGACCCCCTGCATGGTTCTTTTTGTTGGGTCACACCTCTTGAGTTGCTGTAGGTAATTTGTTCACACATTTTTAGATGCAGATTTTAGCATATATGAAAGAAGCCATGCCATCTATTAAAGTCCAGTGAAGTCTTGCGCATATTGCAGAAAAACTAAATATTGCCATGTCATTTTGTTTTCTAATATCATTCTGCACCTATCTTTAAATCCCTGTACCAATCGTAATTGGTTTTCAGGAGGAATGTCATATTGTGATCTATAAGGTCATGTGTATTCACTTTCTCTTGATAAAACTGGAAGTTTTAGCTTTTAGATGTCCCACATTCATGGAATTTTCTGGAAAATCTTGAGTTTTAAAAGGTATATACCAGACATTGAGAGTCAGGGCATTTTATATATTGTTGTCCAAGTCATGGAATATCAAGAAATTTTTGTTTGCCATTTTAAAATGTTACTTTTACCCATTAATTAAAATGTATTTTGTTCATATCGTGTTTTTTCATCATTTTGTTTCACATGTTTTGCCTGTTGTTATGGTTAGGCTTTTTTTCACCACCATTTTATTTCTTTTTCCCAATCAAATGCAGTCACCAGGCTTTTAAATTGCTGTTTGTAGATGTTTAATGTCTGCTCACTGCTCAACCAAGTTCATCCTGAATTTGCCAACAAAAAAATCTAAAAATTTTCTGCCTAAAATGTAATCGTTTGTTATTATTTACTGCTTTTATGTTTTGCTTTGAAAATAAAATGAGACAGCAATAGTTTTTTTTTTTCTCCAAAAGTTGATCAAAGTCCCATAAAGTCCCATAAAAATTTAAAAGCAAAAATAAATGAGGGGGAAATAGAATTACAAAATGCAGAAGAAGTTTTTTTCACAATGTGGATCAAATTTGTGGAAAATCTGCATCAATAAAAAAAATCAAGCTCCTCTAAATTTTGTGCCACTTTTGGTGATAATGTAGCATTCGCCGAATTCACAAAATCCTGAAGGGTCTGCTCAACACAATAGACCTGTTTTTCTATTCATTATAGGTCAAGGGAATTTAATATTTGACTTGCAGTGGGAACCCAGAGCAATGTGTTCTCATAAAATATGAATGTTTGTTTCTGATAACACAACGTAATGTATAACTTAACTGTTTGATTGTAATGCAATAATGTGCACCTTTTATAAAGCTGCTTTAAAACAATAGTTTGTGAAAAGCGCTATACAAATAAACTTGAATTGAATTGAACAAAGTCTTTGATGATGTTTTGTTTCTGTGTTTAGTCCCATGCAGAAGTTTATTTCGACCAGGATCAGCAGTGTTATATGCTGATAGACCAGGGCAGTCAAAACGGGACCGTCCTCAACGGCAACAGAATTCTACAGGTAACACAGACACCTTTCATACACCTGATCAAGATGGCATACAGTTCATAAGTCAGAATTATTAGCCCTCCTGAATTTTTAGCCCCCCTGTGTATTTTTTCCACAATTTCTGATTAACAGAAAGATTTTATCAACACATTTCTAAACATAATTTAAAAATCTGATTTCTAATAACTGATTTATTTTATCTTTGCTGTGATGACAGTAAATAATATTTGACTAGATATTTCTCAGGACACTAGTATTCAGCTTAAAGTGACGTTTAAAGGCTTAACTAGGTTAATTGGGTAAGTCATTGTATACTGATGGTTTGTTCTATAGACAAATGAAAAGGGGCTAATTGCTTAAGGGGCTAATAACATTGACCTTAAAACAGTTTAAAAAAAATTAAAAACTGCTTTTATTCTAGCCGAAATAAAGCAAATAAGACTTTCTCCAGAAGAAACAATATTATAGAAAATACTGTGAAAATTTCCTCCTTGCTCTTTTAAACATAATTTGGGAAATATTTGAAAAAGAAATTCACATAAGCTAGAAATGTTGACTTCAACTGTATATGAAACACATTTCTGCATTCTGTCTGCAGCCCAAAGTTCGCTGTGACCCTTGTCCTCTGACCCACGGGGATGAATTAAAGATGGGAGAAACGGTTTTGTCCTTCCACATCCACGCAGGCACGGCCACTTGTGACGGCTGTGAACCAGGACAGATCATAGCACACTTGAGCCGCCATAAGAAAGACGAAAGCTCTGGTATGCACAACATGACTGCATTAACTTAACCTGATTATGCTTAATAAGCCAACACTGCATATGGTCATGTGAATACATTTACTTGTTTTCCATTATTAGAGTTGGGGCATAAACAAGTCTCATTGTATTAGGGGCTGCCTTGAAAGTCAATTCCTTACATACATACAGTTAAAGTCAGAATTATTAGCCCTGCTGAATTGTTGGACCCCTTGTATATATTTCCCCCCAATCTCTGTTTAACTAAGAAGATTTCAACACATTTTTAAACATAATAGTTTTAATAACTCATTTTTAATAAATGTTTTTTTTGCCATGATGACAGTATCATGACAGTTGATACTAGATATTTTTCAAGATTCTAGTATTCAGCTAGAATAGTTAAGTAGAATAATTTTGGTAATTAAGCAAATCATTGTATCAGGGATGTGATTATTCCGTATTAATATGAATTATGAAGTTTTTTTTGAGCGTGGGTGTCTCTACCGTCATCGAAGCAGACGACCTGCTTCATTCCGGACATCTTTCAGGGATGTTATTGTAAACCTACCTTGGATACTGTGAATATAACAATGATATTGTGTAATCCTAAAATGTGAAAAGTCGTTGACTATATGCAAAATTATGAAATCGCTTTTAATTTTTTCAGGATGGTGTTACGAACCCCAGTTTTTAAGGCTCGTCTAGGGAAGGGGTTAGCAGCATAAAAGGACACAGAAACCAGAAATAAAATTCTCTATTTATTTAGAGACCAGAATATACGTGTCCTATTTAATTAAGGTGGCAACAGAAATATAAATCATTAATTAAACAATATATTAGTCAAAGCAATTACTTCAACAAACAAACAAAACATAAATCATAAAGAAAATATTGATAAAAAACAAGAAAAACATAGAACAAAGAAACGGCACAACACCAGCATGGCTCCCCAGCAGCGGCTGCGCAAGACGCGCACAGAATTTTCGGACCTTCTTCATCAGGGCAAGATACGGAGAGATTCTCAGCAAGTACGGGTCATACTCTCCAAAGAGAGACAAGATCGCGAAGATCAGTCAGACGCGCTGGAAAACAAGAGCCACACCCGACACACACTCAGCTTCGGTTTATAAAGGCGACCAGCCAAATTAGCGGCAGGTGCATGGCGGAGCCAGCCTCAACACAAAATCACGGAGAACAATAATAATAATAATAATATAAAAGGAAGACTAAATAAAGAATAAACCGTGACAGTGGAATGTTAAAGTATATTAGGATGCTCAATTCAACTGGACTTAATATTTTTACAGTTTAAATTGTTGACTGACTAGTAGCTTATCACGTTGGAATAAAGTGTCAACTAAATTACAGGGAAAGTCATGGGCGTTCCTAGGCCTATTTTATGGGGGTCTTTTGTGATTAGCTCTAACTGTAAACTAAATTGTCGCCTCAGTCCTCTTTAAATTTGATATGAAAATGGCGGCAGAATTCAGCTCCTCCTCGTCTTTTGCTTTTCATTGATCGGCAAACCACAGCTGTGGACAGCAAGAGAACTGGGTGTGTGTATCAATAAATTGTTATAATATCTGCTTATTTGCAGTTCTTTGATAAAGATAACCTTCTATCACCTGAATCCCAATGTCACGGAGGAGCTGTTGGGTTTTCTGGGCGTTAACCTCACCAGCACAGCTGTTTCCTCCAGTGAAAAATGTCACGAATATTTCGCTTTTTTATTTAATTTATTTCATATTTTTATTTTTATGTGTGTATATATATATATAATTTTAGTTTTTACTTTTTTTTTTAAAGGGGTGTCAGGGTCTCTTTTTTTTGTTCTCGGCTGATCACATGCCTGTTGTATACCGGTGGTTTGTTCTGTAGACAATCGAAGACAAATATTGCTTAAGGGGGCTACTAATATTCACTGTAAAATGGTGTTAAAAAAATTTAACTGCTTTTATTTTAGCCAAAATAAAACAAATAAGACTTTCTTCAGGAGAAAAAATGCTATAGGAAATACTGTGAAAAATTTCTTGCTCTGTTAAACATAATTTGGCAAATATTTAAAAAAGATAATATACTCGGAGAAATCAAAACTGACTTAGATTTGTCATTACATTTATGTCTGATGATTTGAAGTGCCTCTTTTAAACGTACGTTCACACCGAAAGCGGCGAGAGCGTCAAAGTAGATGGAAGTCATTCATTTTCAAAAAGCGCCAGCGGCAGGTAGCTGTGCAGTGCGTATTCGCCTGCGTGGGCGTCGAGGAGAGTTACAATCAAGTCAACTTTATAGTAATGAGCTATGACGTGGTTTGGCGGCCAGCAATCAGAAGTCCACCGCTTGAGAGGAGTCCAGAGAATACAGACCTGTGAACTTTAGTTTCCACCACAGTTGTTCACAAGGATTTGATTATTGCGGTCGCCAGATTTTAAATGATTTATAATGTTTTCTTACAGGAACATGCATTAAATAGGTTACTGGCAAGTTACTGAAGTGCATTAATGTTATATATATTTATCTTTAAAAAAGCGGGAATCTCATGCGACAGTACAAAACGGTATTGCTGCTTCAGGATATTTCAGACATATGGACACATATTGGAAGATCAAGTTGCATGCAGTGTGGCTTTGCTCCACTTAATTATCCATTGTTAAATGAATTTGATAAGAAGTGCAGAACATTTTCACACTAGAAAGCATGTTTTCTGCAGGAATGTAACTGATATGCTGCAACGGCCCCTTTAAATACGAGGTTAATATAGCGAATTTTGATGCTCTCGTCGCTGGATTTGAACGCAGACATCGTTGTCACCAGGGCGGCCAAAACGACCTTAGACGCTCTTACTGCTTTCGCTGTGAACGCACAGTAGTTTTATCTTGTAAGTTGCTTTGGATAAAAATGTCCGCTAAATGAAAAAATGTTAATTTGCTGGTAAAACTCAGAAGCTGTGTTTTCTTGCGTGCGAGTGTTGCTGCGTGCGTTTTCACATTCTCATCTATTGCAGCGCAGGTAGAAATAGTCAAAACAAGAGGATATGTAATCTATACATTTCCGACTGAAATTGGTATTAAGGGTGTATTGAACATGACTGCTGACGTAGCAAAGAAACACTTGGAGCTAGATTAATATGTTTTGAAGTCACTACCAGGAAACAGGCTGATTTATAATAAGCATTAAAGACACAGTTTTGCATGATTTGTGAATTATCAGCTCATTGGAGTTCTAGTTAATGAGCTCTTTGCTGATAAAAAAAAGCCATGTTTCACTCAAAAAAATTAAGTTTGCTGTTTGTTCAAATAGGGCTGAGAGATAAAATCAGTATCTGTATTTATTGACTGAACATCATTGTCAATATTAATGAAATAAAAAAAACAGTATGAAGTGCTATAGTTTTATTAAAACGTGGGTGCTGGGCGCACGTCTTGGAAGCAGTGCCAATAAGCATTATAATTATTATTAATAAGCATTATAATAATTATGTTCAGAATAACAACACTTCAAAATGAGTGCGGTGGCTGGCAGATTGTAAGTAGATTGTTAATAAAAAGGATGTAAGGATGTCGCCTGAGTGGCTTTTTGGTTTCTTTTCTTGTGCTTAGATTTGTTTGTCATAACTTTTGTTTACAAAGTTATAAAGAGATCAGATATTGTGTTAAAATATTTTTGTTTTTGACTATTAAATCTATTGGTAACACTTTACAATAAGGTTCATTCGTTAATGCATTTACTAACATGAACTAATCATGAACGACACATGTACAGCATTTATTAATCATAATTGAACATTTACTAATGCATTATTAACATTCAAGTCCATGCTTGTTAACATTAGTTAATGCAGTGGTTCCCAACCTTTTTCTTTGGGGCCCCCCCATGAACATATACAAACATTGGAGCCCCCCCACCATATAAATACACACGCACGCACACACATATTTACTGTGTGAGTGTGTATATATATATATATATATATATATATATATATATATAGTATGTGTGTGTTTGTGTAATATTAATATATAATATGTATAGAAAATATAAATTAATCAGTTTTAACTTGTCTTGGCCTTCAATAAAATCAAAATTTAGGTAGGCTTTGTCATACTGTCTAATCTTTTTCTTCGCCTCTGAAGAATCACTGCATTTACGTTTCTCTGCCATTTCTGTTTTGATTTTGCCTTTACGAGAAGTTGGACAAGCACATTGCGCAAGTGAGCAAAATTTAAATAATTATTTAAAGTTTTTATTTGAATTATTTTTACTATTATATTGGAATTTTAAGCATGTGTTTTGATTTTTGATTTATTTTTTTTGTACCTAAATACATATATAATAGTAGGGCTGCTCGATTTTGGGAAAAATCATAATCACAATTATTTTGGTCATAATTGTAATCACGATTATTCAAAACGATTATCGGTTAAAGTCAAAATTATTAGCACTCCTGAGAATTTTTTTTTTTTATAAATATTTCCCAAATTATGTTTAACAGAACAAGGAATTTTAACAGAACAAGGAATTTTAACAGTATTTCCTCTAATATTTTTATTTGTTTTATTTTAGCTAGAATAAAAGCAGGTTTAAATATTTTGAAACCTTTTTTAAGGTCAATATTAGCCCCCTTAAGCAATAAATATTTTTGATTGTCTGCAGATGAAACTACTGTTATACAATGACTTGCCTAATTACTCTAATTAAGCCTTTGAACTGCACTTTAATCTGAATGCTTGTATTTTGAAAAAAATCTAGTAAAATATTATGTGCTGTCATCATAGCAAAGATAAAAGAAATCAGTAATTAGAAATGAAATATCAAAACTATAATGTTCAGAAATAAGTTATAACTAAGTAATAACTTCTTTCCACGAAACAGAAATTGGGCAGGAAAAGTTAATATTCAGCTAATATTCAGGAGGGCTAATAATTCTGACTTCAAGTGTATACATACAGTTATTTTCCACCCTGCAAAGGAAAGAGAAATAAATACAATAGAATAAAAATATGAAACAAACTGTGCTATAAGCATCTTCACTGTAAGAAAAATTATGTTCAAACTGCTTATTTAAAATGAGCTGAACACAATTCTTGAAGTTTTGGAATTTTATGTTTAATGCACTTAAATTTGTAACTTCTTGTCTCAACACAAATCAGTTGTGTAAAACCTAGCATTTTTACAGCGTTTTTATAATACACATCTCATGTCTGCTACTATGAATCATTTGCAACATTCTTTTACAGTTTATGTTTGTGTGTTTCAGGGGCTGTTCTCAGCAAAGAGGACAAGGAGGCTCAGCGGCAGAAAGAACTGAAGATGATGAAGGTTAAATATGGTCTTAAAGTAAGTTTCGGGGTCTATACTAGCTCTTTTTTGTGATGAAAGCTATTTGTTTGTTGGTGTGTGTGCGGTCAGTACTGCCCTCTTTTGGTCAGGAAGTAGTTAAACCACTATTACTAAACTACAACAGGTATAATATTTACCTACTGAAACAATATATCCCAGATGCTCTTTGGGAAAGTATCACAATTATTGTGCAGAGTTATTATGTGCTAATTTGTGCTAAGAAGCAATTCCCAACTAGTTTAATGTCAGTTATAGTGGTCTTTACTGATATCTTATGTAAGATTTATTATCTTCAGTTTGTTCAATTTTATTTGATTATTTATTCTTGTATGTTTTTTTTTAAATATTTAAGGCACATTCTTTAAAGTAATTGCTAATAATAACCCTCTCCCTATATATAGGCATAAAAGCAAAAATATTAACATTATTTACACCAACATTGACATTTATTTTTTAAATTATTCACCAGAAACAGCATCAGCATATCAAACATCACGCATTTAAATTGTCACACTGTAATGTTCTAGAATGGACACTCTTATTTTTAAATTTATACAATTTATTTTATTTGTTTATTTATTTGAGTTCATTTTGATTTTTGTAAATTCCAGTGAAAATTAGAAATCTTTACACGGCAACTACCTCTTTTATTTATTATTTATATAAGTTTTATTTAAAAAAAATCTTGCAACTTTAACTTTTAAAAGTAAATGGTGATAATAATCTTGTCCCAATATATAGCTATACAAGCAAAATTATTATTATTAACATTAGCTGTGCCTCATTTCAGAGGCTACATCCTCCGAAGGATGCATTCGAAGGGTGCTGTGTGACGAAGGCTGTCTCGTTTTCAAACAATTGGAAGGCTCCTTCAAATGCAGCCTCTAAATGCGTTATTCGTTTCCCAGGTAATGAAGGACACAACCGGTGGTTCCTTTGCAAGCTCGAACGTCCCAAGATTCGTTGCGCGCTGATAACGGCAGGACGTTTTTTTTAAAGAAAACTCTGGATTATAGGTTTATTAGGTTTATTTATATTAGGTTTATTTATTAGGTTTATTTTATTTATTAGGTTTATTAATAAAATAGGTTATTTATTCTGAATTAGGTTTATTTTATAAAAGAGTATGACATATTTTACCAAAAACCACCACACCACTCTCCACACCACCACCAGTGTGCAGCATCTACTTACATTATGCTAGGGCAGCCACAGGACAACGGTGCCAGTGCGCTCACCACACACCAGCTTTTGGTTGAGTGGAGAGACCATGATAAAACCAATTCGGTGGATGGGGATGATTGGGCGGCCATGATTGGGAAGGGCTAACAGAGGGAATTTGGCCAGGGGGGTTACGCCCCTACTCTTTAAGAGAAGTGCCATGCGATTTTTTTTTTTTTTTTTTTTTTTTTTTTTTTTTTTTTTTTTTTTTTTTTTTNTTTTAATGGCCACAGTGAGTCAGGATCTCGATTTAATACTCTCTAACAGTATAGTGTCCCCTTCACTATACTGGGACATTAGAACTTACACAGACCATAGGTTGAGCGCCCCCTGCTGGCCCTACTAACACCACTTCCAAGAGCAGCCTAGTTTTCCCATGTGATCTCCCATCCAGGTACTGACCCGGCTCAGCCCTGCTTAGCTTCAGTGAGTGACCGGTCATGGGCTGCAGGGTAATATGGCTGTGGCTCGACTCGACACTCTTATTCACTATCCCTGCTTTACATGGATTAAGTTTTTTGTGGATTTCTTTGTCCTTCAGAGTAGTGATTATGAAGAGCAGAAACCTCTGAAGAACAGCAAATATAAAGACCGAGCAGAAAACCGCCGTCAGACAGTCGGGAGTGAAGGAAAGTTCCAGAGAGACGATGCTCCTGCTTCTGTTCATGTGTATGTAACCCATTCAGTCAAACATTTACCATCATAAAACTGCTCTGGGGCCTTGCATCACAATATAAAGCCTCTACAAGTTTCTTGTAATTTCTCTGTGTGTCTGAATAGTGAGATTGGTGATGAAAATAAGGGCAGACAGATGCTGGAGAAGATGGGCTGGAAACGAGGAGAAGGACTCGGCAAGGACGGAGCTGGAATGAAGGATCCGGTAATATTTACATCCAGGATTTATGCAAAGCGCATGACATTTACTCTGTTTTACACTGTTTCTCTCTCTCTTTCTCTCTCTTTGTGTGTGTGTGTCTGTGTGTGTGTGTACACACCAATGTCCATGTCTGTTTGTGTGTGTTTGTGTGTGTGCGCGTGTGTGCATGCACAAATTCCTGTGTCTGTCTTTGTGTGTGTGCGTATGTCTGTGTGTGTCTGTCTTTGTGTGTGCGCGTATGTCTATGTGTGTCTGTCTTTGTGTGTGCGCGTATGTCTATGTGTGTCTGTCTTTGTGTGTGCGCATATCTGTGTGTGTCTGTCTTTGTGTGCGCATATCTGTGTGTGTATGTCTTTGTGTGTGCGTATGTCTTTGTGTCTGTCTTTGTGTGTGCGTATATCTTTGTGTGTGTTTGTGTGTTGTCTGTGTCCGTATATGTGTGTGTTTGTTTGTTGTCTGTGTATATCTGTGTATTTGTTTTCTTTGTGTGTGTTTGTTTATTGTCTTTGTGTGTGTGCATGTGTGTGTTTTTGTTTTTGTTTGTCTGTATATGTTGTGTTTGTTTGTTGTCTTTGTGTGTGTGTGTTTGTTTGTTTTTTGTCTCTGTGTGTTGTGTCTGTGTGTGTTTGTTTTTTCTTCGTTTTGTGTGTTGTGTCTGTTTGTGTGTGTTGTTGTGTATGTTTGTATATTGTGTCGTGTATGTGTTCTGTGTGTGTGTGTGTGTGTGTGTGTGTGTGTGTGTTTGTTTGTTTGTTTGTCTGTCTGTCTGTCTGTCTGTCTATTTGTTTGTTTGTTTGTTTGTCTGTGTGTGTTGTATCTGTTTGTGTGTGTGCGCGCGATTGTTGTGTCTGTTGTGTGTGCGCGCCCCCGTGTGTGCTCGTCTGTTTATCTGTCTGTTTGTGTTTGTGCTTGTATGTCGGTGTATGTGTGTGTGTTGTAGATTCAGCTGCACATGCGCAAGGCTCAGTCTGGTCTGGGATCTTCTGGATCCGCCATGTCTGTTGAGGATGCTTCGCTCACCAAATCCAAAACACAGAGAAACTGGGAGCGCGCAAGAGAACGGTTCTCTGAAGCCTGCCACACCGACTCCTCCCATCCTGAAAACAGCCAATCACCTAAAGCCTGGGTCAAGAGCCAGGAGACGGAGTGACGCTTCAGATGGACTTTATTTACACTGTTTATCTGAGTCATTTCAGCAGAAGACCTTATTTCCATGAGGTTTGTAAATAGACGCAAGTTCATTTTAATGCCACTCGGAGTGATTTTTGTTTACAGTGAAATTCAATACTGATATAACGAACAAATAAACAAAAGATACAGACAAGCATTCCAGTGTATGCATTTATATTAATGGCACATCTACAAATTCACTCAAAGAAAGACAAAGCAACTGTTTAATAATTATTTTAAGTGTAGAAAATTAGTCCACACCTCAGCTTTAATTATAATGCCACTGAGAAATGATATTTTTATGAACAATTTTTCTTCCAGAATGATAAAAGTGCATTTATTATTAACTTCTCAGTCATGTGTTGGTGTGGACACTAATATAGTCCACGGAGTAAGAATATATGCTAAAGTTCCTCTCCTATTATCTTTAAGGGCACGTTTAGTGGGTCATATTGCAGCATTATTTATAGTGAGGACTGCAGTTAAACCTGTTTAATCTGAAGAGAGGGCAAGTTGCGCAACTTTCATTATGGAGTCTTCAGGCTTTTCTAACTGCCAGCAACAAATAATTAGTTATTATGTTTGGAAACATAAACCCATGTGTTGTGAATGTGCGTTACCTTGGCGTCACTCTACACACACAAACCCCTTTGTGGTCAGTTGGGTTTCTGTATAGGTTGGAATCTGTAGCAACCCAGCTATTTACGCATGATTGTTATTTACCTTTTGCATCTGCAAACAGTTATTATTTTTAATTATTTTTGTAAGATTTCTAGGTCACATCTCACCTTAAAAATCTAAAGGATCTGGCTAAAAGAAAAGGAATATACTAAAAGATATTTGGAGTTCATATTTGATACATTATTTACATTTAATGCCATCAGATCTCGTTAACTTGCTTTTGCATTTTTTATTTTCATTACTGTCTGGTGTTTCTCATCCAATCATACCATTCTAATGCAATGTTCATGATAATACTTAAAATAGTTTGATCTATTTATACAGCATTTATTAGTAGCATTTTAATGACTGCAGTGCAAAATGAGTGTTAAAATAGTATTGTAGAAATAACATTGTATGATAAATCTTTTTTTTTCATGTTATGAAGTATGATATATCATTTATTTATAATATATTTATACATTTTTATTATCATTTCTATTATTGCAGTTCTCATATTTAAGTGTTTTTCACTTATTGGAATGTCCAATGAGAATAATAATAATAGTACAGCACAATACAATACATTATTGTCAGACTTGCATCTGAAATTTTTCTTGCATAACAGCATGGTAAGTACGTCTTACAAAAAGACAAGGACATACAGTTAAAGTCAGAATTATTACTCCCCTTGAATTATTAGTTCCCTGTTTATTTTTTCCCCAACTTCTGTTTAACAGAGCAAAAAAAAAAAAAAAAAAAAGATGGTTTGACTATCAGAAAAAAAAGACAGCTTAAAGGGGCTAATAATTTTGACCTTAAAATGATGTTTAAAAAAATAAAAACTGCTTTTATTCTAGCTGAAATAAAAGAAATAAGACTTTCTCCTGAAAAAATTATTATAAGTATGTATCAGCAATATTTCCATGCTCTGTTAAACATCATTTTGGAAAATTTAAAAAAGAAAAAACTATTGAAAGGGGGGCTAATAATTCTGACTTCAACTATACAAAAAAATCATTTTACACAGGCGTTATTCAGCTTCAAGACAGCCTGATGTACTAATGACTTTTCCAATTTTCCAAAACTTGGGACTCTAAATCGACGGTTAGATTTAATGGTAAATATTCATGAATGACTGAATTTATTTAACGGGGACATGCACAAAAATTACATTAACCTCAAGCAGGAAAGATGCATTGTGCCAGGTTGTTGCAGGATTGGAATTTCTTTTTTTTTTTTTTTTTTTTTAACGATGGAGCCGAAAGATTGTAAATAATTTGAAAAAACACAACAAATATTGGAATATTTAATAATATTATTAAAACTTAAGAGACGTTGTTGCTTTTTTTAAATATTGCAGTGATTGTACAACCGAGGCTTTTAATCATGAATTTTAAGTGCTCTCTTGTATAATGATTCCAACAGTGTTAAAAATGATTTAAATGCCTGAGACCAGCTTGTTATACAGTACAATTGTGGAGCAATCACAGTATTTAAATACATACCAGCGGCCTCATAAGTCAGAGAATCTCTATGTAAAAATTTCTAAGATTTAATCTCATTGTGTTTTTTTTTTTTTTTATGAGTTTTAAAATTAAGGTTTGAGTCCAACATGATGCCTAAATATTTGAATTCAGTGACATTTTAAGTACTTTGCCCGTTTATAAAAAATTCTAAAACATTTCCAACTTTATACTTATTTGAGAAACATGGATATGGTTTTTCAACATTAAAGGTGAGATTTGAATTTTGCAACTATTTAAAGACATCTTTCATTTCATTTGTTGATTTTAATCATGATTTAACACATGACGTGGGTTCGAAATGATGTTCCTTGCCAGCATTGGGAGGTTCTTGTAATACGAACAGTCATATCATTTCTCAAGAGGTTTTCCTACTGTCTTTAAACAGATTTTAATCTGGTTCCTCAACTTTGTTTTTAAACTCAGACATTAGACTCGTATACCATATATAATTACAGTTACAATACCTAATAATTACAATACCTAATTAATTATACAATAATAATAATAATTCAGATTATTACTTGAATTATGTTGGTGTATAATATGGTAGTTTTGCTTTAAAACAGAGTTTTTAAATATTTAATTTAAAATCATTTTCTTATTTTTAGATTTTGTTTTGTTTCTCTTCAATCAAAACTTAATCAAATCCTGTTCTAGTACAATGTTACAACAGCAATAAATTATTGTGAATATTTCATATTATTATTTTTTTTATTGTATCTATTTTTATTTTAAAAATATGATGAAATGGCCTGTATACAGGATAAACAATAAAACATGGTAATTCTCTATTTTTATTGCTAATGATCTGGTTCCGGCACAATGTTTGTAATAATAATTATAAATGGTGACATTGATTATTATTACAAACATTGTTGCCGGAACCTGATGATTTTAAACAATAAAAATAGAGAATTAACATGTTGTATTGTCTTTCCTGTATAAATACCATATATTAATCATAATGTAAGTATTCATTATTATTATTATTAAAGCAATTATATAGCCTGTAAAAAAAGCAAAAAAAAGAGCATTTTACATTGAGAAATACAGTTCAATACGATAATCAGAAATTAATAAATCAAGCAATTATTACTATTGTATGTAGTATGCACACAGACTTGTAATTTCAGTCAGACAGGGCTTCTGAGAAATTGTCATTCCATACAAAATCGCTGTGTTTAAGATCTGATTTCTTTAAAAAACATTGACCATCACTGCCTGGCTGAGATACGATATGAAGTGGGTATCAGACCAAGCAAGAAGCACTGCATTAAAGTATGTTTTTCCTCACCATGTCTTTAAAATATGGAAATTAATTTTACCCCAGTATTTTTAATGGAGTTTTTGCACCACCCTGCTGCTATTGACAGTGCTTTAATGGCCTTTCGTCTCTTTTTTTGCTTTAACAACCACATGGATGCTTAAGTCTATTTTAACAGAATAAATTTGAATTACATTACAACAACGATGCTGGAAAAAGAAGCTTATAAAAATTGAAGGTAGTCACAAATCTTTCACCGGAAGTTTATCACTGGCTGAAAAACACTAGCTGTGCATACAGCCAATTAGTTTTCCTGGGATCGTCCGTGTTGCGCAGCAGTGATGCCGGTGAACCGGCGGCATTAGGACCACGCACTTGTCCGCTCAGCCTGTGTGGGTGAAAAAGTTCAGAGAAACGTCGCCTACCTAAACCCTCAAAAAGTTCCTAGACACAAGAGTCTATTCGGTCGTTGCGTTCTGGTGGAGAGAATGCTGTCAAAATGTGCCTTCCACGAGGTTTTAACTCTAAATAGGCGGGATTTCATGTAACCGAGGCTCTCCGAGGGCAGTTTGGACCGCGCGGACGGACAGAGATGAGCGCGAGCACGAGCACGCAGCTGCTGTCCAACGGACCGCGGAGTAAGGTAAGATTCACTCTTCTATTATAATGATAATAATGATTACAAACTCGCTTAAAGGTGTCTTCTAAATAACCAGTTTACTTTTTCACCGTGCCGTCGAAGGTCGTTTCATAACTGGGTGTTTACGCTTTAAAAATAGAAGTTTAACTAGATTAAGTTGAACCAGTTGTGAAACGGTAACCTTATCTGGGAATTGTGGGACTCTGTGTTGTGTTCATTAACTTCTCTCTGTGAAAGAAGTAGTTTATATCAGGTTAAATTGGTTGAATGGTAAGTTTTTTCCTGTCAAAAAGAACTTGAGGTCCGTTAGTTGGTCTGTTCTTCATGACAGCTTCCAGTACTGTAGGTTGGGGTAAGATGTGACACTTTCATGTCACAGCTTTAGTGTTGACAAATGAAATATGTCTGTAGTAAAACTACATTCAACCAAACACTAAAGCAAATTTTTTATTGAATAAAGACAATAAAATAAGACGACAGGAAATGAGAAAAAACTTGTTCATTGTTTGTAAGTTATGAAATACTTGAAGATGTAAAATAATATATACTGTTATTTTGTGTAACAGGTGTCAGTGTAAAAACTACTTACTCTGTACTTTCTAACATAATAAATGATCCTACACGTGTTTATTTGATATAATAATAATAACAATAAGGCTATAATAAAGCCAAAAACACTGCAGCATATTTTTAGCTACTTAAATTACGAGGATTACTACACTTTCCAAAAGAGTAAGTGATTATACAAATGTTTGTTTGATATAATATTGAGGCTGTAATACATCCAAATACACTGCAGTATATTTTAAGCTACTTAAATTATGAAAATTACAATAAAACCTGACTTGAAATGAAAAGTATCTATATAGGGTCTAAAAAAACATGAACTATTAGTATTATATTATATCGTAAAGTGTTTTGTTAGAAAATAATGTTATTGGCATTCAGTGTAATGAGTAAAAATATAAATAACTTGATTCTGATTCATCAACATTTTGTAAAAGTATGTGATTATACAAGTTTTTACTTGAGATGTTTGTCAAATTAATACAGCCAAATACCTG